GCAGAGTTCCAGCCCCCCAACATTGCTGTTAACCTTTGTCTGGGTCAACTCCTGCTGGGGGGGTGGGGGGCGTCATGGATATTCTTGGAGAAGCTGTAAATACTTCTGCTGGAATTCAAGATTGCATGCAAAAGCTCATTCACATGCCTACTAAGACTATAATAATAATTATGAATGGGGCTCCAATTGCCTTAGCCCCGTGGTTGTGTTGCAAGCCCCATGTACAGAGGCTATAGTCCTCTTTGCAGCGGATGTGGGTTTGAATCCGACCTCTGCCCTTTGCTGCACGTCCACTCTCTCTTCCCAACATTTCCTGTCTCTCTTCAGCTGTCCCATCCAAAAAAAAAAATGCAAAAATGGCCCCCAAAAAATAACATTTCAGTTCACAAACATGTCACAAACATCTCTATTCTTAATACTATCCTCCAGCTATTCTCACAACTTGATCAAATGTCAAAGAGGCTCACTCCGTGTAGGTTGGATAAACTTCCAGAGCTGCAATTACATCAACCACATGATGTTAAAATAGTCTGGAGAAGCTTTGTCATTATCAGAAGTTTGAGTATTGCCAAGTAAACATTAAAAACATGTAGGCCTATTCACTGCTTCTCCAAGCGTGTGGCGCACCCCCACAGCACAAAGTATTTTACTCCTCCAAAGAGGGGCACGACAGAAAAAGCTTGAGAACCACTTGCCTATAATTTTGTTTTTATTGAGTTGCTTTACAGCGGGGCGCGGTGGCCGAGTGGTTAGGGCGTGCGCCCGCATGTACAGATGCTGTATATTCCTCGGAGCGGGCGACCCGGGTTTGGGTCTGACCTGTGGCTCCTTAGCCGCATGTCATTCCCCCACCCTCTTTATTCCTGATTTTCTACTCTATGACCCCTCCTCCCCCCAAAGAAAGTAGTTATTGAAGTTTGTAAAGTTACTCTTTGTAAGATTACTTTTAAGTTCTCATTGAATTCTTTCACACGTGTCTCTATTCAGGAATCTGAGAGAATGAATGAAGAGAGCGAACTGTTTCTCATGAAACACAGACTCTGGGTGACTGTTGGCAGCTGGTGACTGCTGCTGGTGACTCGTCTGACTGTGTGAGCGTGTTACAGCTTGTTGGTGCAGTGAGAATGTTTACCGTCAGCCTGTCATCTGTTGGCATACAGGCTCAAGTGTTACTTTCTTGTCGTGAACATTTTTAGCTGCGAACAGAAGAATTCAGCACTGTGCAGAGAAACAAGTGTTAAATACCTGTTTCTTATATTAGCTGGATGTATTTGCAGGCTGTGAGGAGCAATGTTCGGCCTCCATGGACACATTAACGGGCAGTTTGTTTGGAAATGAGTCTGGCACGAGTAAAGTTCTTACTGATAAACCCTGATGAGTCTGAATGAGAGTGATTTATTCTCTTTTTGGGGCTCCATTAACTGTAAACACATTGACTTTTTCTGTGTTTGTATTTGTTGCCACCCTGACTTGGACCAGACTAATGTTCTAAAAAACGATGAATCACCGAAAACCTCATCCTTTTGGTGCTACTCCTCCCTGTTCTCAGGGCAAAAAAACCCTGATTGCTCTGTCTGCTGTTTTTTCTTGAAGAATTGCGACACTCATCACAAAACTTTTAACAGATCTTTCTAACTCTTCCTGAAACTTCAGGCTTCATTTTTCTGAAATAAAAAACGTCTTTTTTATTCAGCTGAAAACAGTGTTTATGTTTGAAGTGTCTGCTTTCTGTTCGTCTTATCAGCTTATCATGTTAACATTTTTTACGATGTGATCATCATTCTTTTAAACTGCATAAAGCGTTTTGGATCACAATGAGCTGCTATGAGGTACCAAGAGGCACCTCTTCTTATCCCTGCTTGTAAAAACACTTTTATTTCTTCTCAATTACTCATCTTTTGAGCCTGCAGGCCTTGTGTACTCTTACGTCTGTATGTTGTTCCCTGTGCTGTTGGTCTCTTCTCCTCTTCTGTCGTCTCCAGCTCTGCCCATGCAGGTGAAGCTACTAATTACTCAACGAAGTGGACCTGGTCTCAGTGTTTAAAAGCCCAATGCTTGGTTCAGGAGGAGAGATGCATTTTTTGTGGGTCGGACTGCTGTGCCTCTCGTTCAGGGATTGTGTGTTGTCTTGTTGATTTAGTTCTTTGTTGACTTTTTAAAAAACTTTTGGTGCCTTAAATGGAGAGATATGACAGTGGATAGAGTCATAAATCAGGGAGAGAGAGAGTAGGGAGTAGGGAGGACGATAGCCTGCGCGTACTAACCATTGCGCCACCAGAGCCCCAGTTCTTTGTTGATTTTTGATTGAGTTATTTTATGTGGGTTATTAAAATTCCTTATAGTTTTGACTGTTAAGGGGTTTTATGTCACTTCGTTGGGTCAATTTGTGGGTTGTTGTTAGCCCCATTGGGCCGCCATGTGGTCGGGCGTAAGAATACGGAAGCCCTAAGCAGACATGCATCCATACATTTTAAACACTCTGTGTTACCTTAAAGTCTTTTTTTTCTTTTCTTGAGATCTCAAGCTCAGAAAAAGCTTGACTTATCTCATTAGTGTGGGCCAATGGCAGTATGGCATGTCGTGGTCCGGCCTATCACAGTGGACAGCCTGTTGTTGTGTTTGCTGGAACGGCCGAAAATGATCCTGTTATCACGAGAAATCAATGTTATCTGGCAATAAATTCAATTATCTTACTATGAGCAACCAGAGATAATGTGTAGATAAATATAATCTGATGTGATGGGGGAATAAAACAGCTTTATTATACAGAGATAAGGAGGAAAATAAAAATGCATGAACACAATGTAAGGATGCATGTCTGCTCAGGGCTTCCGTACTGTGAGACACCCGAATCATTACAGTTTTTAAAATAGTATGAGAGAAATTCAGGGAGGGATTCTTTGTAAACTACATTGTTGGAATGCTTTGTAAGACAACATGCTCATTACTTAAGAGATGCAGAATGATAAAGTAGATAAAATGAACTCCAGGGATGTTCAGCCGTAAATGGAATGGAGCCATCATTCAAACTACAACTCTTATTTCTGCCACGTCGGCTCCTCTCTCACTCTCTGTTCCTTTCTGCTCCTCTCTTTCCTGACTCTTTTCTCCTTCATCTGGTCTCACAGGACTCTGTGTGTTAATGGGTCACATGTTTGTGGATCAGTGTTGGATGACTAAGTTTTCTGCTTGGTTGCCTTTTGTCTGTATGAGTCTTTCTTTTCTTTGTTATTGTTCTGAATTCAGGACAGTTTCCTGCACGGGGAAAGATTTGGAAAGATAACCGAGCTATTGTAGCGTTTGTAATCCTCCGCACCCTGCTGGTATCTTATTGATGCAGGGTTTTAATGAAGTCTGCTCTGGAAGGGAATCAGAGAAGTTTAATCAAAATCAAAATTGAGAAATGTCGTAATGTTTTCATGTCTCAACCGTGTTTATGGTTGAAGTAAAAGTGAAACTTAAACTGAGAACTGGTTGAATTGTAAACATGTAACCTGCTTAGTGTTAACATGTGTGCATGCTGCAAATATTTACTGATAAGGTGTTGAGAGTGTGTCCTAAACCAGTGGTTTGTTGACATATTTTGACAGTACAGGTGTAGATGTGACAAACTATGACATTATATTTAGTTAGACAGTGTAAAGCTCAATCTGATGCTCTCTTATCTCAAAAACGATCACAGACTTAAAGCCTTGTTTCCTCCAAGCGGTCCAGTTCAGTTCGGTTCTGTACGGTACCCATTTATTGGTGTTTCCACCGTCAAAAGTTGGGAATGGTACCAAAATAAGGGATCCATACCGTCCTACTTTTTGGTACCCTTCTGTTGGGGTGCCAAGGGTACCGATCCGACCCTAAAAGGTCCCTTTTGTTTACTGTGTCCCTGTTCTTCTTCTTCGTTGAACTTAGTTAATAGCGGGCTACACTGTGTTGGGCTGCTGTGATGTCACACTATTACATAGCTGACGCGGCTAACTCCATCTGGCTTACACTCCGCTTTCCAAATAAGGGTACGGTTGGCTGTGGAAACTCAAGCAAGCTCAGGGTTTACCGTACCGAACTGTACCGAACTGTACTGAACCACACCTGACCGCTTGGTGGAAAGGGGGGCTTAATGAACTGGACTCATTGGATCCTTTTAAGGGCATACACATCTGGATGGAGATGTTCTGCCTGATATACTCCTTATTGTGGTCGATTCCGACAAATATTATTTGCCGCCTTGAATCACTTTGTAATGGCTCTGGATTTGAAAATTGGCTTCCTCAATGTTTCCTTTTTGTGTTAATGGTCCTCTTTAGCGTTAGGCATTCAACTCATGATAGCACGCAGGGTTACTGTGTAAGGTTTGGTTTGTATGGAATGTTCTCAGCTGATATTTTCATTGTGCATGTTTCTCATGAACAATTTCACTCCAGTCAGAGAGTTTGTTATTGACTGGGTTAGCTTATCCCCTAGGAATGACCAGGGAGTCACATACAGCCGAGGTGCACAGAGACAGTTTGATCCTTCATCAGCTAAAAAAAAAAAGTTCTTAGAGCAGGTGTTTGAACAGAGGGGTGTGTTTCCTTTAGATGAGGGCGCCTGTATGGCTCTATTGTTTAAGCGGCGTCCCATGTACAGAGGCTATAGTCCTTGTTACTCTCTGTCCATGTAAGGATGTATTGCCTGTATGGACCTTTGTTGCAAACCAAATTGCCCCTCTGGGACAATCAAGATTTTCCAAATTCAGTTTTACATTTTGTGACTTAGTGGTGACCACAACTGACCTTGAAACCCTTTCACATCTGTGTCTACAGTACATGTGTTGTTTTCTTATAAAGTCCATGTACTTCTGTGGCCCTTTAAATAGAACATCATGTTTTTTAGTAATCAGTCGTCATCATCAGCGTATGATCGCCCGAGGGAGAAAGCCTAAGGGAGTGCTTTTGCACTCTTTTGGAATCAGTCATATAGTTCACAAAATGGACATTTTTTTAATCGTTTGTTTTCTTCTCCTTTAGGCCTGCCCTGCTCTTTGGGCTAACTGCTGAGCATGCTGGGTAAGGCTCAGCCAACGACCAGTAGCCTCAACCTGGTGAACGCTGAAGTTTCTGACACCTCGGCGGCGCCCGACGAGCCAGATCATATGAAGATGGCCGACCTAGTGGAGAGCCTGGATACCAGAGAGCTGGACATGGGAGAGGGAGAGGAGATCGACTATGATGGGAGCTCCTTAGGTGTGTTTTTAACATATTTTCTGTTTTTTTTCTCAAGTAATGTGATATCACTACAATTTAGCCCAAAAACAAAAGGTAAGGAGGGAACATGGTGAGAAATAAAACGAAGCAAACATACTTTTGGTGGTGAGCCTCTAAACTGGTTTGAGGATGGATTTTTTTCTTTACATAATTTAGATGTTACAAACTTTTCCAGAAAGTAAAACAGACACATTTTGACCTAACACAACGAACTAGTGAAGCGCAGAAATCTTCCACAAAGGCCGACTTCTTTTCACTGATGCAGCCTACTCACTCCCAAGAAGCCTGAACAACTCCTACATGCACAACTGAAACAACATGCTCACCACCCTCTCTCTCTCCCTCTCTCTCTCTCTCTCTCTCTCTCTCTCTCCCAGGAGACACTCGTATCCCGTTTTCAGCCGTGTACGCCACTGTGGGCTTTAAGGAGGGCAGCGCCACGGTCTACCTCCCCACCGTGCCCATCACCGCCCGCATCCTGGAGGTGGAGAGATTTACCACGGCGCAAGACCGCTTCAACCTGTCGCACAACAGGAGTGTCAACAAGGTGCTGACCACACACAGCTAATATTTATGGCAAACATTGAGGGAATATTCAGAGATTATTACTCTCTCTTCTTGCACTCCTTCCTTTGGTCTTTTTTTTTTTTTTTAATATAGAGGAGTTATTGTGAGTCTCTCTAGAAATACATTAGGCATCAGGTTATTCCCTTTAAAGCTCCTGTGAGAATTGTTTTAACTGTTATGACACTGACTGAAGTTAATACTGATGTCTATATGAGCCTCAAACGCTAACAAGACCATCAGCGACCAGATTAGTTTTTTGTTCGTTATAATTATTTAAGATGATGACATCATGAGCACGCTGTACACGTACATCCTCAATGAGAGTGGTTACTTCGTGCTACCCATGTACAGAGGCTGGTGTCTTTTGAAGTGGGCGGTCTGGGTTTGAATCTGACCTGTGGCTCCTTTCCTACACCTCATTCCCCACCCTCTTCCCGTTTTTCAACTATATTAAAAAAAATAAAAAAATTTTGTTGTTGTCAGAAAACCCTGCTTGCACATGTAAAGATGTAACATATTCCACTTTGTCCACAGGGGGCACCAAAATCACCACAAACTGAACGTTCCTCACAGGAGCTTTAATGTTGTTGTGATATTGCACGGCTCGTCTTCACTGCATTGATGAGGCCACACGTTAAGCTCTTTTAACATAACTGTCTCTGAAGCAGCGATCTCCCAACACATTGCTCGTGAGCTTGTGGTCGGGGTTTAGCTCACCTAATGGTTCACACACTGTGCACAAATTTCCCACATCAATAGATGCAGCTTGAAAGTCTCTTCTCACTTTAATTCAATCAAATACGCAAATGTCCCACCACCCCCTCCAACACATACAAATAAGATAGACCTATCAGCTTTCAATAAAAAGATAATCTTGCCAACCCCTGAACCTAATTCATCAAAGAAGTGTAGTAGCAACCTTTAATCAACATGACACGTCCGTTAATTGAGCTAGCTGAGCTAGTGACACGTGTGGTGCAATGAAAAGTCTTGTTTAGCCAGATTTAGGATGGACAAAAATTAATCTCAGATTTAAAATCTTTTACAAAACAGGTGAAATGCTCAAAGCAAGCCAGAGCTGTACCCACTTTTAATTAGTATCTTAAAACTTTATTTTAAAGTGGTTTATATTATTTGTATTGTTGTACATGTATTTTAATGTATCCTCATATCGTGTTATGGGGTTTTATGTAACCGAATGTTGTACATTTTAATCTGTGTTTTTACACAAAGGCCCAACTGGAGACACGAGTTGGAAATTAGCAATAGCTATAAACTCTTTATGCAGCACATCAGTTTCATGCTTTGTATTGAAATTATGTTAAATTGCATTGTCCCTATTAAAATAAATAAATTCACAATGAAAGTAGCCTTGCCGATTAAAAGCAGGAAATCTATTTCCTGGGGGGGGGAGAGAGGGGGGGAGAGGGGGGAGAGGGGGGAGAGGGAAAGAACATTTTTTTTCCACAAATGCAAAGCTCAAGTGTGTGTTAGTCGTCTGCGGTCGTAGTAGTGTTCCGGTCAGCAAAAGAAGCAAGGTGAATCCACCGCAGTGCTCAAGTCCACGGTAACTTAGCACAGGAAAACTGCCATCTCTATTCTTGGTGAGGATGTGCTTTAAATAATGCCTCTGTTAACACCAAGTGCTAGAATGAAGGAAGTGATAGCCACAGTGGCTGAGACGTTATTCAGGGAGTGAAATGATGTCTACTTTTTCTCATTTACATTTTGCTGCTTATACAATGACAAAAAGTCTCTCCACTTTGTAATCTTTGGGTATTGACATATTGATATTTGACACATGTACTTAGTAGAAGTAGCCTGACTCAGCAGGTCCATTTGTTTGGATACAGTATGTGACTAAAGTTGAGCGTTGTGATTCAAGAAGCTGTCAGATGTAGAAAGGTTGGAGACCTCTGCTCTATTCAAATTACTCAAACTGTAATATTTATAAAGATCATCATGCACACTTCTTGATTGCGTGTGTGTGTGTGTGTGTGTGTGTGTGTGTGTGTGTAGTCTCTGCCAGCAGTGTTTAGGATCGAGCTGAAGCACGGAGAGTTCACTTGGATTATTAAGAGGAAAGAGAAACATTTCATGGAGCTGCACAGAGAGCTGAGGACGTACAAGACCTTCATTAGGATACCTCTGCCTTCACGCAGGTTTGTGCCCACACACACAACACACACACACACACACACACACACACACACACACACACACACACACACACACACACACACACACACACACACACACACACACACACACACACACACACACACGCATAGATTTGAACTCCCACTCAGCCATTCACTTGTACAAGCATCACGTTCGTATGTAAACACAAATACACAAATACTTGTTTTTTTACATCACTGCACTGACTTTTAATCATTTTTCAAGTTATTTATTACACTGAATCATCTTTGTGAAGACACACACACACACCTCTAAACACACTGAAACAGTTGCAGTCGTGAAAGTACACTGACTTTTCTTGGCAAGAGTTAGATGAGAACATCAATACTTCTCAATGAGAAGCTAGAACCAGGACATGGTTGGCCTAGCTTAGCATTAAAGACTGTAAACAAGGGCAAACAGCTGGCCTCACTCTCTCCACGTTTCTGTCAGAATATGTGCTGAAGAATTAATTAATGCCGTGTTTAATTACAAACAACAACAATCAAAATGTAAAGTGACTTTTCTGAATTTGTTCGTCACTGGTTTCCTTCGTTGACACTTAACTCATTAAACAGAAAATAATCAGAAGTAGCTAATTGAGGCCGTGTTGATGACAGCTGCAGGACGAGCCACATGAGCACCATCTCTGAGCAATCAATGAAAATACATAAGAAATGATGAAATAAGAAATACAAACAGGTTATGCTGTTTAACTTTTACTAGTGGCATTGCATGAACGCATGAACAGTTGCAGGGAACGAATGAGCTCACTCAGACCTGGTTTTACTTTTCTTTTTTTTTTTTACACTTGTGTTTTTGTATACATTTAACATCAAATGACAGAACATGTAATAAATCCGATTTAGAGGGGATGGTAGACCAAATAATACAGAAAACTGGTCATCCCTTTTCTGTCTGGTCTTCAAGCTAAGCTAAGCTAATCTCCTCCAGAATGTTGATGCATATATTCAGTGTTTGGCGTCATCTCTTGAAATCTCATGTTAAACTTGGCAAGGATATTTCTGACAGTGTTCAGCTACTGTGTGTATTTCAGTGTATTTCAATGCTTTGTTAATAATTTATCATATGAGCACAATATTCTCTAAATGTCCGGCAAATTTGAATTCCCTCCTTTGTTTTCATATTTCTTCCATTATTTCTCTCTATTTTCCTCTCCCTCTCTCTCTCTCTCTCTCTCTCTCTCTCTCTCTCTCTCTCTTTCTCTCTCTCTTTCTCTCCTTGGTATTCAGAGTGATTTAAAATGCAAGAATGTTGCCCTTGGTCTTTAACAGGATCTACTTTTTGCCCTCCTCCCTCTTCCTCTGTTCCTGTCAGTGTTCTTTTGCCACTCAATAATTTTCTGTGTTTAATAAAGCTTATGTGTTTTTGTCTTCCTGTGTTCATGCTTGAAATAACAAAGTACCCAACAACCCATAAAATGCTTTTACAGGAACACAGGAAATTGTGTTTGATTATCAGAGCTGCGGCCGTGTTTTTTTTTTTTGTTTTTTTTTAGCTTCAGGCAATTTGACAAGTGCTCTTTGGAAAAGTGTACTCAAATGGCCTGCACTTTTTTTCCAGTGTGTTTTAATTTCCTTCATCTCTGCCTCAGCCACACAGTGAGGAGAAGGACAGTGAGGAAGAGTGAGGTGAGGGAGATGCCCTCCCTGCCGAGGGGGGGAGGAGACGAGCTGGTGCGAGAGGAGCAGGTCTCCAGCAGGAGGGTAAGCTAACAGCCGTGTCTGCAGCCTCTTTCACTTTTTGTCATATCTTAACGTGATGGCAAAGAGCTCTCCTGGCACCACTTGTTGCCATGGCACTTAGGTGTGTGTGTGTGTGTGTGTGTGTGTGTGTGTGTGTACGTGTGCAAGTGTGCAAGTGTGTGTTTAAACGCATGATTTTGTCATTAAAATACTCACAGTGGCCAAAATGTAGTGTGTGTGTTTTTACAGAGACAATTAGAGGACTATTTGAACAAGCTGCTGAGGATGGCCATGTACCGCAAATATCACCACACTGTGAGTAATCATACTAAGCACTGCAAGCTGTGTCACTTTAACACAACCTTATAATGATCGCCTGCCATTTGCAGTTACGCTTTCTGTTCATTTTCTGTTTGTTACTCATTTCTGTCAATATGAGCCAAATATACCCCGCCAGCTTCTGTAGAAACCTGAGACGCGCTATTAAAATAAACATATGTGACAGTACTTTTCTTTCATTTTACTGTCCTCTTCCCTCGGGGGAGAACATTGTGTGAGAACACACGTCATGACTGTGTTTACCCACAGCACTGTGTCTGCTGTATGTTGACACACTACAGGAATTTAAGCACCTGAATACTCATTAAAGCTCCTGTGAGGAATCTTCAGCCGGTTATAAAACAGGCTGTCATGAATGATTTAGCCTCTGTTCCATCCATAAAAGCAAACAAGACCATCAGGAACCAGATTGGTTCTTTCTAAACGTTATTTTTTACTGCCTGTGACCGCTGCTGCAGGGTAGGTGTCAGACGAGATAAACTATAGTGTGCTGAAGAAACAATCTTCCCTTTATGTTTTACACAGGGAAATATTCACAATGAGTGATACATTTGACTGTTAAAAAAGCAGGATGAGGGGCGCTGGTGGTGAAGTGGTTAGTGCATGCGCGCCCCATGAACAGAAAAAGAGATTTTGTGTAAATAAAAAAAACACTACCTAAGGGGGTCCTGACAGCTTACGTCACATGCCCCATCAATGAAGGCTATCATCCTCTGGTAAAAGATAAAAGGCCTACATTCTGTGACTTTAACTTTCCCACTGGGATAATATGCAGGAAGTGATGTGACTGTACGTCCAGTTTAAGACCCTCATTAAAACTACTTCCTGTTTGATGGTAAACAACGTGTCCGCATGTCAACAGTGCTTGATGCAGGCTTTTGGGCTTGAAGCGATAGTATGGCCAAGGATGGTCCAAAACCCATTGTGAGGGAGATGAGAGCAACCATGTAGGAGTGGCTAGCTCTAATTCAGAAGCAGTAACTTCCTGTTGTCAACAGGTGGCGCTGTGACTATAAGAGAAAAGAACAATTTGAACACCTTCAGTGAGATTAATGCATCAATGAAATGTGACTTTTACACGTTCTTTTCCTCGTAATGAAATATACAACGTTTTTTTTAATTCAGTGAGACAACATTTAACATCATGTAACGTTAGCTTCCTTACGTTTATGATGTTGGATTAAATGTTGAATTCCCTATTTCTCACTTTTTTGTTCTAAAACAGGCGTGGCTAAACAGACAGTTGATTTTTCTTACATTTTGGTAATATTGTGCTCTTTATTTTACTAATTCACTCACAGAGCTTACTCACACAGCAGTACTATTTTTGGCCGTATCACCTTCCCTTGTATGCGGACGTGCATCATTCTGACACTTAACGATTTAATATCTGAGTGGTCACCACTTGTTGAGATAATTTAAGCGACCCACTCATGGATGGTACGTAAAAATGTCGTTGGTATCTGCTCACATGTCTTTCTGTGTACTGTACAGTATGTAGCAATGCTTTTTTTTTTTTTGACTAGAGTCATTGTGTGAAGCCTCTTCCTGTCTGTTCTCAGATGGAGTTCATTGACATCAGCCAGCTGTCTTTCATTCATGACTTGGGACCCAAAGGACTGTGAGCACTGACTCTTCTTTCAAATCTCCCTTTCTTCCCCTGCATACAAACAGATCCTGTGTCAGGTGGATTAACAGTAAAACATTCACAGCAGAGTTGAGCTCTTGAGCATAAACTTACAGGATCAGATACTAAATTCTGAGATTCTGCTATTTTAAAAAGTTTTCTTTTTAGATCTGCACTGTACCTGCAGTGGAAAAATTCTTATTATTTCTCTTTTCTCTTGCAGGGAGGGGATGATCTATAAGCGCTCAGGCGGACATCGTATCCCTGGCATGAACTGCTGTGGTCACACCCAGGCCTGTTATCGCTGGTCCAAACGGTGTGTGATTACATCTCTCCTTTTATTGTTGCTCTTTCTTTTCTGTTGTTCTTGGTTCTCAAGCTTTTTCTTGTTTCCACCCCCCTCCCCCACACATTGCTTTAGTCTTGCTCACGTACTGTGTAAATATTGCTGTTAATAACTTGTTTTCCTGTATTTAAGCAGTTCCCATTGATGTTACAAAATCGTTTTTTTTTTTATCCTCATAGATGCTCAACCTCATTGACAACAAATGGAAAATCCTTAATGTCTTAAAGAGGATGGATTGAAAATATTTCATAGCATATTTCAAGTGTTTTTGTTCCTTTTGAACTGGCAAACTTCTAATGTAGGTGTGATGGAAGTACAAATTTCTGGCAGGGAGCGCTCTCAGCGCGGGTGTTAAAACACAGTGACAACTCTTTGCATATTTGAAAATACAAAAATAAGAACTTCTCCATAAGTGATGGTGTTGGCTCCTTATTTACAATTTTTTTTTTTTGGTATGTATTTTGCTAACACAGTCTTAGCAGCATCTTCAAACCACGCTTGCCTTTCTCTTCATCTGTTTGTCTGTTTTTGTCCCTTTCTCTTCATCACAGCCAAATTATTATGTGAGCAGTTTTTTTTATTTTTTTTTATTGTTGTTTTTTCCAAAGACAACACAAACTAAATCCCACACGTTTGAAACGCTCGGCCCATCCACCTACATCCCCGTGTTGATTTTCTTCCTACACCCGTTCCAGGAAACAAGAAACACAAGAAATGGTGCACAGAAATCAGAAGAGATCCACAGAACTTTACGCAGAAACGCAAATGATGAATCCTGATGACGATGATAAATGCTGTGTTTGTGTGTTTGTGCGTAGCTGGCTGGTGGTGAAGGACTCCTGCCTGCTGTACATGAAACCGGACTCGGGGCCATCTCCTTCGTCCTGCTGTTGGACAAAGAGTTCAGCATCAAGATGGACTCCAAAGAAACAGAGACCAAACACGGAGTCCGGATCGATAGCCTCTCCAGGTTATTTTACTGTGTTTGTGTGGAAATTATTTTAATTTAGTCGCAGCTGCCTGTAGTAAAGATTCCCCTAGAGATTACCCTCTAACAGAAAGAAGTTCTCATATCATGGGTGGTTCAAAGTGAAGGAAGAACATGTGTGCGAAATGCCAATGCCCAATGTAAGAGGCTATAGTCCTCCAAGCAGACGGCCTGGGTTCAAATCCAACCCGTGGCTCCTTTGTTTCATTTTCCAGTCTCTCTCTCTTTCTCTCTCTCTCTCTCTCTCTTTCTCCCTGATTTCTGACTCTATCCACGATCCTACTGTATCTCTAAATAAAAGCACAAAAAGCCAAAAAGTAAACCATAAAAATAGAAATGCTCGCCTTGAAAAGAAAACTGTTCAGCTGTTCATTAAGCTAATCGCAAAATACAACAAAAATTCAAAAAGTTCCCTCATATTTTATGGCATACATAGGCCATAACCAATAAAATGACTACATGTATTTGTAATGAAGAGCCCAGACTTGTTTGTTTGGTTCTAAACAGCTGTGTTTGTATGTGTGCTCATCCTCCTGACAGGACCCTGGTGTTTAAGTGCAGCAGCTACAGACACGCACGCTGGTGGGGTCAGAGCATCGAAAGCTTCGTCAGGGAGTACGGGAAGGCGTTTCTTCGAGATCACCGCTTTGGATCTTTTGCACAAGAACAGGAAAACATCCCGGCAAAATGGTAACCACTTTACACAGAGAAATGAACAATTGATGGTAAAATGGATTTAGCGCTTTTTCTAGTCTTCTTACTGCTCAAAGCGCTGTCACACCTACACATTCACACGCTGACGGTAGAGGCTGCTATGCAAAGGGACCATCAGAAGTAACTTATCCCATTCATGCGGATTCATATTTCACTGACGTAGCAGCAGGAAATGTCTCGGGACATGTTGCTGCAGGAGCTGAGGAGTGAACCTCCGACCAACTGATCCACAGCCGCTCAGTCGACTCAGTTGTTGATGTGTCAACAGGAAGGCTAAAAAAAAAACACAGTACACATGAATCAGTTAAAAAAACAAGTGTGAGATTACAATTTGTCAGAGATGTATCAATTATTTTTTACATTTTCTTTCACTGTACAAAAACAACCTGCATCGAAGAAGTATGCATACTTCATTGCATTGCGTCATGTTCTCTGCTAAAAACCCTTCTCATTAGAAACTCAGAATAAACACGTTTCCTACATGAATTCCGTTTTCTCTACTTTTCACTTGTAACAATGCAGACGTCTGACAGGTCTGAGCTGTCATCGCTCTTTACCATCTTTAAGATCGTTTCTTAAATCCTCTCCTCCTCTGCCGGCAGATTGTGTGATCTTGAATCATCTCTGTGATCATTTCATTACGTCTTCTTTGCTTTTAGCTTCGGATCCTTGTGAGAAAAAAAAAAAACATGCTGTGCTGCTGTGAGGGAATGTGAAAAAAAAAAAAAAAAGAGTGTTTAAAGAACAGTGTGATGACGCAGCGTTGGGTGTAGCCCTGACGCCTGTAAGGTTCAGAAGGTTTGGGGGAAGTGAAGACACATACACACACACACACACACACACACACACACACACACACTTGCACTGCCCTCTGTGTGTCTCGCCTCTCTTTCTTCACACTGAAGACTGAACTGTGGTTTTGCTTTGACGTGCCGTGACAAACGGACGGCTCTGTAAAAGGAGAAGAAGTTAAACATTTACTGCACATGTTCCAAAGTGGGGCACTGTGTGTGTGTGTGTGTGTGTGTGTGTGTGTGTGTGTGTGTTTGAAAATAAGCCCACGTGACTGAGATGTCTCCTTTCACAATTCACTCTGAATGACTGTATTTTTTAATTCAGGTATGTGAATGGAAAAACATACATGGAGGACGTGGCTGATGCTTTGGAGGAGGCTAAGGAGGAAATCTTCATCACCGACTGGTGGTGAGCTTCATCACATCTTTCACCTGCAAAATACTGCATGAGGTCACAGATTTTGGCGATGGTTTTTCTGAACTGAAATGTAGATCCAGGTAGGGAAAGCTCAAAGCACAGATAAGGTCGGCCAAGTTGCTTTATTTGTTCCTATTGGTGGATTTATTTTACAGCGTGGGAGTCGCCTCATTTTACACACATGATCACGATGACAAGACAAGACATGATAGTCAAAGTGACAATAGTGCTCAAGACTAAAAGTTAACCCTTTGGGACGTGATAAAAATAAGCCATCAATATGAACGAGAGTAAAAAAAGGAGATGGGAATGAAAGTATATACCGTCAATCATTAAAAACAAAGTAAATACAAATGAAAACATGTCACCAGTTAAACAAGATGAAAAAGATCCATTAATACTTATTTTGATAGTTCATAAACACAAGCGATACTCACACCCAACTGGACACTGTGGTACCCTGAAAGTGAAGTGTGTACTGTCACACATTACATTATAAATTACCCACAAGCCATTGCTCTCAGCCAGCAATACAATGGTGCTAGCTCTAATTACAGTCCATCCACACACCCAGAATAGAAACACACTGACAGAGAGATACAGACTCTATATAGTGTCTGTTTACTTGTCGGCTACACCCACCCTCCATGTGTCACCCTGCACCCTTTTTTTTTTGTAGGGGTTTGCATACCTGTGTGTTATTTATAGGCAAGAAATCCGATTATTTAATAAAGCGAAGAGTGAATGAATTTAGAGAAAAGAAAAGGAAAAATGACGTGTTAGAATTGAGTTGTATAATTGGAAGTAAACACAGTATTTGGGGTATACAGGGTCATTTGAAACAGTTTACAGTCCCTCAGAGACGTATCTGTGTCAGTTTGACGTGGCTGAAAGTCTTTTGTTCCAGAGCTGTAATCACAGGGCTTATGGTTTTAACCAATGAGATGTCAGCCTGTGTAAAGTGAGACAGTTTAATTGTAGACATGTAAGCACTCAGGGCACCGATGGGATTGACTCATGAGACTTTATTATTGTTCAATGTCTATAATGTTTATATACGAGGGCCCGACTGATATGGGATTTTTGGTGCCGATGCTGATATAGATATTGGAGAAGTAAAAAAAAGAACAACCATACCGATATATCAGCCGATATCTTAGATCTTTCTGATCTTCAGAAATAGATTTACACATTTTATTGTGTTGATCCCTCAAATGCAATTAACAAAGACACGTGGAAAAGATATATAATGAAGACAAGATGGTCACTCAGCTGGAAAGTAACTGAGCATGTGCTTGCATCACCGCTTGACCCTCTTAAGACTGATAATGCTTCTTGTCTTCCACATAGCCTCTATGAAACTCGAATGAAATGCTATTCGACTGGTGAAGAATTCTCCTAATAAATCAGCGCATATCTGTGATAAAATAAGCCGATAACGGTAGTCGCTGGATACAGTAATATCGGCTGATGTAAAATCGGCTGGCTGATTAATCGGTCAGGTTTTACTATGTAAATTATTTTTGGAGTAATGTTACTTTGGATTCTCTTAAAAACAGAATGTGTAAAAGAAATACATAAATCTCACTGAAACTGATGTTTCTCTCTCTCTGTGCCTGTCATTCATCTTTGTTTCTCGGTTTCTGTGACTTTCCTGTCCAGGCTGAGTCCAGAGATCTTCCTGAAGAGACCTGTTGTCGAGGGGAACAGGTGGAGGCTGGACTGTACCCTCAAACGCAAAGCTGTAAGTAAGGATTAGACAGACAGCTTTTTAAGAGAGAGTCAGAAACGACGTGAAACACAGTCCATAATCAGATTTTGTGTTTTGAGTTTGGTGAACTCTTTATAAATCCAAATAGAAAAAAAGAAGAGAAAATCAGCACTCATTGCAATCTATTCTTACAACCCACTAAATAAATATTGATCTTCTTATTTTGCTCAGTTATCTTTTTTTATTCCGTCTCTCTACAGCAACAGGGAGTTCGCATCTTTGTGATGTTGTACAAAGAGGTGGAGCTCGCCCTCGGCATCAACTCAGGCTACAGCAAGAGGACCCTCTCCCACCTGCACCCAAACATCAAGGTAACTAAAGCATTATGGGTAACCAGAGTGTATGCATAAAGATCATTTAATGTAAGTCTGTGTCAATCAGCGTTTGTTGTGTTTAATGTCTTGTTGCTTAGGTGATGCGACACCCAGACCACGTCTCCTCCTCCGTCTATCTGTGGGCGCATCACGAAAAGATTGTCATCATCGACCAATCAGTCGCCTTCGTGGGTGGGATCGACCTCGCGTACGGTCGCTGGGACGACAGAGAGCACAGGCTGACGGATGTCGGCAGTGTGACGCGCTCTGTTGCCCTGGAGCAGGTTGGACACACAAATACTCACAAACACACACACAACTAATTAAAAATCAACAGTTTGGAGTTATTGGCAATAAATGTGTTTCCAACCTCCTGACAAATGGTTCCAATAAAAGAGGAGCAAACTGTTTTCATTGTAACTCACACAGTTAGGGGGTGTGAAGAAGAAGATGGACTGCGTGTACCCTCAGTGACAGCCTGTGGTCGTTACGTTGAACTTTCACAGTGCCAACCTTTGAATCGGCTTCTGGTTCAATTTCACACACAGCAGGAGAGTACAGATTCTCATACAGAGGCACAGAAACACTAGTTACACTGTTGACCCACACAGTCAGTATAAAATATTAACTTCATGATGTTGTCAGCAGTTTCAAGCACAAATTCACCCAAAGGGATAAAAGTGTTTCCTACGGAGGCCCTGAAGTCCCAAAAAGTAAAAAAAAGTAATAACTTGTGGGAACAAGATTCTAATATTGTGTGCACCAGTTACATTTAAAAAAACAAACTTTTTGGGCCTTCATGGGCTGCGTTGTTTCCTTTCACATTCTATTTTTTATATTTTACTGCATGTTATAGCATCAAAGTGCATTGTATAGACTCTTATTCCATTGTATTCTATTGAAAGGTTGTGTAGTGTTTCATAATGCATTGTAGACTATCATGTTGCATTAAAACGTATCCTTGCATCATATTGCATTGCATTGTATCATGATATGTCATAATTATCTTTTTATATTGTAGCCTATTGTCACATATCATGTTGTATCCTATCATATTGTGTTGCATCGCATCCTGTGAAGTTTCCTTGACACTAATCGAGCCAAAATGTCACGTTTTGTGATCAATTCCTTGTAAACAAACAACAGTTATGCTAATAAACTACAGAGACTACGTCTTTATTTTATGTTGTTTCCATGTTTCCAGGCCGGCTCCGCTAACCCTCCGTCCAGTAAGGGTGTTTCCTTTGTCGACGGGATATCTGACGACGTCTCTAAGAGCAACGGACGGGAGACGCCGCCCGGTGAAGCGGTGGAACTGCCAAAGCTGAAGGGGATTGGACGCAACAGGAGAGCTCGCTTCAGTCTGTACAGACACCTGCACAAACACACTCTGCAGCACGCCGACAGTGTCAGCAGTGTGGACAGCACGGGTGTGTTTACATGTTGGAAATACATATTCAACAAATTTATATAAACCTTTGTGTTTATGACCTGGAATTGGAATCATTTTGCCATAACTAAGCTATATGCATGAAACATACGTGAAACATACCTTTTTTAATCTGTGTGTGTGTGTGTGTGTGTGTGTGTGTGTGTGTGTGTGTGTGTGTTTAGGGAGTGGTTCAGTGCGAAGCCTCAAGACAGGTGTTGGAGAGTTACAGGGCAACACGCGCTTCTGGCATGGAAAAGATTACTGCAACTTTGTGTACAAGGACTGGATCCAGCTGGAGAAACCTTTTGATGGTCAGTTAGAAAAACACACACACACAGAAACACAAATACTGAATGAAAGCACATTTGCTTATCAGTCAAGCCATCTTGGATATTCTGGTCTCTTGTCTGAAATGTGTTCTAAAAAGATTTTCCTGCAGCTTCTGTCGCTCTAGCTCCTTTGGGCATACAGCACCCTTTTTAATATAACTCTGAATCTTATGACTTTTCCTGTTAAAGTAGAGTGATGAAAATAAATAGTCTTGTGAAAAACTAGTATTGAGAGGAACAAGCAGCATAAAACACTTCCCTGTTACACTTTTCTTTGTCTCCCTGTACCAAACTCTGTCACCCTGCTGTCTGTCCCTGCTCAAATCTTCCCCAATTCCCTTTACTCCCCCCCCCCCCCATTCTACTGCTGCTCTTTTTTCTTTTCTTCACTTTCTTTGTTCGGTTGTTTCCACCCTACACAGACTTCATCGACAGGTACACAACACCCAGAATGCCTTGGCACGACATCGCCTCAGTGGTTCATGGTAGAGCTGCTCGCGATGTGGCCAGACACTTCATTCAACGCTGGAACTTTACTAAGGTATTGTGTAAACATACACACACACACACTGAATTCATTAACAAACGACAAAGGGATGGAGAGCCGGATGAGGACTTAAAGCTTAACTTGTTTAACCAGGACTGAAAAACTAAAACTTTTTTGTTGGCAGGCTTTAACCACCTTTTTAGACTGATAGCTTATTATTACATGATTGTAATGTATGTGATGCAAATTCGGTTTTCATCACAGTTAGTTGTGAGTGAGTGTTGTGATTTTTCAATAAAAAGTCAAACAGAACAATAAACAGTGTGCAGGCAGATTATGAGAGAATGTGTGGCTGAATCAGTGGAAAAACACTGTAATCCTCACACTCAGACTTTCCATGGCATCACTGTTTTTCTCTCCATTTCTCACTCCTTTTCCTTTCCTCCTCTGACCCTATGCTCTCCAACTGCATCCCACTACAGATCATGAAGCCGAAGTATCGCTCCCTGTCTTATCCATTCCTGCTGCCCAAGTCTCACTCCAGTGCCCAGGAGCTCAGATACCAGGTCCCTGACTCCGTCAATGCCAAAGTGCAGGTAAGAAAGAAATGCACTCACTCAAGAACTATATATTTATTTGAACCAAACTGAACCCATAAAATGACACATGTTGAGGACAGTGTGGTCTTTCCTTTCTTAATAATTACACAAAATGAGAAAGTCGGGGGGGGGGGGGACACCAACCATTCACCCAACCTAAAAGAACCACTGGCAGAAAATTACAGAGAAAACACACACCGTAAAAAAACAACTCCCACTTTCACGTTTGACTTTCCACAAGCAAGTCTGCAAGCACTGCTGGACCAAGATCAAAGAGAGTGAGCGTTCAAAGACTCTCCATGGGCCAAAAAGTTATATAACTACGGAGGTTTGCACTTGCGATTGACACTGGAGGGTTTGCAGCCTCAAGGAATGCACCTTGGAGTGAGAGCGTTGACTAAAATAAGAAATAAGGACATATGGGTCTTATCACAACTCCATCAGGTTTATTCAGTGTTTCATTGTTTTCTCTGTTTAATGTGATAATGGTTTGTGTGTAAAACATTAAAACAGAGTGCCTGAAGCACAAAAGGGTTGTGTTGCTTTTGCACCCTGTAAGCCTCTGCAAAAGAGACAAAAAAAAAAAGACAAACGGTCTAATTCACAAAGGAGTAGATGCATCCTTAAATGCACTGCAGAACAGAGTCTACTGTATGTGCCTGCTGCTGTTTGTGTCTTATTCAAAGAGCCATTAGTCATTAATTTGAGCCAAATTTGCCCATTTCTTTGCAAAGAACGTCTCATCCACTAAACAGTAGCCACACACTTAGGGTGAAAAACAAAAACCGACTGACTGCTGAGAGTCGGTGGTGACGGCGCTACAGCATTTAAGTAGTGATGTCGCACTCAAAGCTTTCAGGTATATGACAACAGTTCTGCCTCTGGATCACCTAAAAATGAGCCTATAGATGTGACTTTGACATGACTAATATTATTCTAATAAAGGGTGACATTAGTATGACGCTGCCTGAGGCTTAACCCCCTCACAGAACAGGGCACACTGTATCTGAATTAGTGGAGACGGTCTGGAGCATCGTCTTTGAAGCACTTGGATCTTAGCTAGTAGCTCGGTCTGTAGGGACTTGGGTTGGGAACCTAAGGGAGGGTTACTGGTTCAAGTCCCGACGCAGACCAAAATATGGAAGTTGGTCTGGTATAGCTGGGCACGTCTCGGGTACTGCTGAGGCGCCCTTGAGCAAGGCACTGAACCCCCACCAGCCATCACTGACTATGATATCCAGATTGTCAGTCAATCACAGGGCTGACATACAGAGACAGACAAACACCCCCCCCCCCTTTAACAACTAGAATGTCTACTTTATTTCTGCTATATTTAGCTCCTACTCCTATACATACTCACATATGGTTGAATCATTTAACCCCTCTGATCATCCCCTGTCTGTGTGCACAAGGTGTTACGGTCAGCGGCAGATTGGTCTGCGGGCATAAAGTACCACGAAGAGTCCATCCATAACGCCTACATCCAGGTCATCGTTAAGAGCAAGCACTACATCTACATCGAGGTAAAACACACAGGGATACACACATCCACTTGTGTTTGGCACTTCTTTTAAAACATTCACAATGCTTCTTTAAAGACACAAAATGTCATCATTTGAAATGTCTCTGATTGGTTTTCTTGTCCCTGACTTCCTCTCCTATCAGAACCAGTTCTTCATCAGCTGTGCCGACAACCGGACGGTCTTCAACAGGATCGGAGACGCCATCATCGAAAGGATCCTGAGAGCATACAAGTACTTCCCGTTATTGAAACCATTTGTTTGTCTTTGTAAAACATGTACATGAACATCTTTTTAAGCATATTGTGTATGTAAACAAGATTAGACTTTAGGTTTTCTTCTTCTGCTGTTTGACACGTCTGAACTTTGTCTTGTATGTAACTGATCTGTGTTTGCTCTCAGGGAGGGGAAGAAGTACCGTGTGTACGTGGTCACCCCTCTGCTTCCTGGATTCGAGGGAGACATCACGACAGGAGGAGGAAACGCCATCCAGGCGGTCATGCACTTCAACTACAGGTGAACCACACTGCACTCTAATAAGTCCATGTTACATTTTTAAGAGAGGAACAGAGAAGGGAAATGAGAAAGCAATTCTTAAATCCCTTTTGTACATTCCTTTTAAGCTCTTTTCAGTCTTGGACATACAATATTTATAGACTTTCTAATGAGTTTTAACCTCCTGCCTCCTCAGAACAATGATCAGAGGGGAAGTCTCCATCATCTCCCAGCTGAAAAAAGAGAGTAAGAAGTGCAAGAACAAACGAAAATGTTCAATCTTAATGGCTAATATTAAGTTAATTTGTGTTTTTCCTCCTCCTCCTCCTCCTCAGTGGACGACCACTGGATGAACTACATCTCCTTCTCCGGTATGCGGACTCACGCTGAGCTGGAGGGACGTCTGGTCACGGAGCTCATCTACATCCACAGCAAGATGCTCATCGCTGACGACAACACGGTCATCATCGGTGCGTCCCTCGCCTTGCTCTCTCACGTTCTGTCCTTTTTTTTATTTTTCTCCGTTTTCACCGACTTCTATTTTAGCATCTCTGTCTTGACACCATTGAAAATGTGATGAATCTCAAAATCTGGCATTATTTCTTCATTGCTCACCATGTGTGCAGCTAAAAAATGTGTATATAAATACTGTTTATAAAAAGGACATAGGCCTGCTGCGCCCTCTGCTGGCTGATGAGGCGCAGCTCAGTCTCTCACTCTGCTATTACAACAATCAACAGGTCTGAAAATCCTCAACAACTTCCTTTTTTTCTCTTTTTTTAGAGACATACGAGTGACTTTTCTCTTGATATTTGTGTTAATTCTTATTCCTAAAGAGAACATCTTTAGAAGTTGGTAATTATATAATACATCCATACGATGATTTTTGGCATATTTAAAGAAGAATCCTTGCAAACAAGAAGTTTGAGAAATACAACATTTTTGTTTCCATTCTCTGTTTTGTGTCTTCAGGTTCTGCTAATATCAACGATAGAAGCATGCTGGGAAAACGCGACAGCGAGGTGGCAGTGATTATTGAAGACTCCGAGAAGGTTCCTTCTGTGATGGATGGGCAGGAGTATGAAGCTGGACCGTACGCACTCCAGCTTCGCCTTGAATGCTTCAGGTGTGTGTTTGTGGTGTTTGGGGTGTTTGCATAAGAGAGAAAATCCTTTGCCACACATGCACTCCTCTGGATGTTCACCCATGCAGCTTACACCGGGAGAATATCACAGGTGGTTGGGGAGGGGAGGGGGGGGGGGGGGCTGTTCTAAGGCAAGGCATGATGTAAAAAGATTATTATTATTATTATAATTACAGTTAATTTGAATGTAATTCCCCTTATTGTCCTTTTTCTCTAGTCATATCACCTTGAAATGACATACTAGTTTTAAATTGGGGTTAATTTGAACATTTTGGACAAGTGCCTTCAGCAGACAGAAACCTTAACTGTCTTAATACAAAAAAAACATGTAATCTAAAAGTAGTGCACTTCTTCTTTCTCTTCTTATTCTCTATCCTAACAGGACTGTCCTCGGAGGCCACAACGACTCCAGTATCGACCTGTCCGATCCGATCAGTGAACGCTTCTATAAGGAGGTGTGGATGACCACGGCTGGACGCAACGCCACCATCTACGAGAAGGTATGGTTGGACATGGTCGTTTAGGGAGGACATGTGCCTGATGATTTGAATACATTTCAATTGGACGGTGCTACTTGTGGTTAAGTTTTTTTCAGGACATTCAATAAGAAATGAATACATAAGCTCAAAAGTTCAAAAAGTCAATGTAAAAGTCCTTTATGGCTGTCATGGTCATGACACAGTGAAAGAAACATTTCTCATCAGGGAAAACAAAGACATTTAACTCTGCTGTTGAAGGAGCTGTGTGGGGATTTAGTGCCATCTAGTAGTTAAGTTTAACACTACACACAAGCTCAATCACAAGCCTGTCCTCCCTTAGGAGATATTAGGAGCTTGTTCTAAGATCATTAAAAAAAAAACAAGTCCTCTGCATTTATGAAAACATCCTTAAGAAAAATGAAATCAACTGCTTTTCTTCCTAACTCTCACCGTCTAACACACTGGATCTTAAAGTTATTAAGGAAAAAAATGGCCTTAGTGGGACGTTAAAGCAAAGGGCATTGTTAACTTTAAGGATTTATGGTCGGTATGGTGGCCAATTTGGGACATTTAAGACTCTTTTTGTCATTTTTGCTTGCTATGTTTTGTGTTCTAGGACTTTAATCAGTGTTCTTGGTGCATTTCTGGCCAGTTTGAGCTGAACAGAGCCACTTGTGTAATTGGAATCTGCCCTCAGGGAACCATGGATGTTTGCGCAAATGTCAAAGCCTTCCAGTGACTTCATATGTATTTTAATTTAAAGCATGGAGCCTAGCCAAGTGCTGGAAAAGCTGTCCCTAATGCCATCTTGGGGCGACAGTAGCTCAGTCTGTAGGGACTTGGGTTGGGAACTGGAAGGTAACTGGTTCAAGTTCTGGTGCGGAACAAAATATGGAAGTTGGTCTGGTAGCTGGAGAGGTGCCAGGGAACTTCCCGAGTACTGCTGAGGCGCCCTTGAGCCAGGCACCGAACCACCACCCGCCCTGGTGAGCTGCCTGCGTAGCAGTGTGTAGCAGCCCCACTCTGACATCTCTCCACTAGTCCTTAGCTCATGTTTGTGCGTGTGTGTATTTCAAACCTATGTTTGTAAGAAGCATTTCTCCCCCTGTGGGCCAGGTATAAAAAGGCAAGCTTAGAAAAGCTTCAAGTTGCTTATAATGACTCCCAGGATGATACTTTTTTTTTTTTTTTTTAAACCCTCTGTGGACTCGTGCAAGTGAACTATTTTGTGATGGAGGAGTTAACACTTTCCATGCTCTTATGAGAAACTTGATCTACAAATGTATCTGTTTACAAATGTAAGGATTCTAAGAACTCCATTATTATGATGCTGACAAATCCAAGTCCCAGCACTGTGCTATACCAGTCATCCCTGTGGAGACACTGCTACATCTGTCTTTCATTATATTGGGACTGTTTTGTCTGTTTACCTTGTTTGTTTGTTACATTGTGTTTGTTTTTATCTGTTTCCTAAATGACTCCCGAGTCTGTCGATAATAATGATGATGCTTTTTCTGCAGGTATTCCGCTGCCTTCCATCGTCCCTGGTGAGGAACATGTCCGAGCTGGAACAATACCAGTCCAAACCAGGTTTGGCCCAGACAGACCTGACCCGCGCTCAAGAGGAGCTGCGCAAAATCCGAGGCTTCCTGGTCCAGTTTCCTCTCGACTTCTTGTCTGAGCAAAACCTCATGCCTTCTGTCGGAACCAAGGAGGCCATGGTCCCGACGGAGATCTGGACGTAACTTTTCAGCAACTTGATCGAAGTATCCGGATTGTTGTTGTTCTCCCTTTGGTACTTGTGGATTTGCAAGAGGTTGCCAGAGAAGAGAAGGAGTTCAAAATGTCTCCTTTGGATTTATTCGACTGCTGGACACTGCCAAATCTCTCAAATCTGTTTCCACTGAAAGCACTAAAGAGTAGTTGCAACCTTTGTTCCAGAGAAGCACTAAGTTTCAGGATGTATGTAGAACAAAAAGACGCCACATTTGAGGACAATATTCTTGACTGCGTTGTGACTGATGTCGGGATGAATTTAGGGTTTTGGGGAATCAAACTTGCTCTGGACGCCCGAGACAGCGAGGATTTCTAAGGGACCAGGGTGAGGCTGTTGTAAAAAAAAAAAAAAAAAATGACAATGACTCTAACAGATATTTGCCTCTTGGTTGTAATGATCCCAAAATACACAGAGATGGTGATGCATGTGTTTTCTGATATGTGCTCGTAAGGTGCAGTAGTGCCATGTTGGCTGTTTTTGAGTTGTTAGGCTGCTTTTGAACAAAACTGAGTATTGTTTTCTGTAAGACAAATCAAAACGTGACAGGAATGAAAACCATGAAACATTTTGACTAAATGAACAGCAGTGCATGAAGTTCTAACTGTGCTTAAATCTAGTTTACATGTTTGAAAGGATGCATGTATCCTATCACAGCTGTGGAAATACCCTCAAAAGACATTGTCCTGATCTAAAAATAATTGACATGACCTTTTACCCGTCTAGAATGACTCAGTTATATCATTCTGCATTCAGAAGGGTTGGGAGTAATGTATATCGACTGAGGGTGCATAATAAAGGCTACAGCACACAGGAGTGGATTAGACAATCAGCCCAGAAATTCAAAGGTGTCATTTCCACTTTGCTCAGCAGAGGGCGCTAATGTCTCACACACAGCGTTTTTTTTGCGCAGACATGCAGGACAGGCCTTTCAGCTCTCGAGACTTCTGTGTACCTACAGCTTGTTTAAAGTGCAGAAATTGAGTCTGAATATAAACAATAATACTTCCTTTAGCATGTGACTGATGCCAGAGTCAGGGCTTTGATTGGACGAGACTGTTTGAAACCTCTCGTTTGCGGCTTTTGCTGTCCGGTTATCTCGATGGAGCGTTTTACTCTGAGCGATGATAAGATTCTCTCTTCTGAAAGCATTTCTTTGTTGTTGTTGTTGTTGTTGTTTTTTTTTGGAATGTACCAGCCTTTGTATGTAAAGAGTTAATTAAGCTGTTTCTATGGACTCTTATGGGTTTATAACCTATGAGGCAATTATCATATGTATGTCTGAATGTATGGACTCTTGTCTCGCCTGATTTGACTTCATTTTTTTTTTTCCCAGAATAATGTTTGATCAAAAGCCTTTGTGAAGTTTAAGCACAACTCCTGTAGAATCCAGACATCAACAACCAACATGTCATTTGTTGCTGTACTGTAACTGGTTAATTTGTGTCACCATGGGTATAAAACACAAACAAACAAACAAGCCGCCAGAAGGAGGATGTTTTTAATAAGCTCAGAAGAGATTCCATTCCCAGGTGTATCTGCTGGCTTTTCTCCAAAGTATGTGAACACTATATGCATTACATGTGAGAATGAAATGTTGTTGTTTAAAAGGGACCAGAAAAATGTAACTATGTCTGATGAAGTAATAATGTGTGGAAGCACTATGCTCTTTGTTCACATTTTAGCAGTGAGGCATTTCAAATTGAGTTTGTTTTTGACAATTTCTTCTGTTGTGTTTACTTCTTTTTTGTCACTTCATCATTTGTTTGGAATCATTTTCCATTCTTGACACATGTATTTTGTAAATGCACGGCATGGTTGTATAGAGTTCAGACTAAAAACTCTTGTTTATTTAAGCGAACCTTCATGTGTTCCCCTGAGCCTCACTTTAACTTTTGATGTAAAAAAGAAAATCCTCTTTATACAGATAGACGTTTTTTAAAATGTGTCTGTTCATCAAACGAGATGTTACTTATCATTTGAATGGCTTCAAATAAAAAAGAAAAACGTTCAATGGAATTTTTTTTATCCCGAACACAGAAAACATGTGAAAGTCATGGGGTTTAGAAAAGAAGTGTGATTGGGGGAAAGGCTGTTTGGACTGTGAGGATTTCATTACTCCCAATCAGAAAAAACTTTATTGATCCCAGAGGGGAAATTTGTTTTTTTACAGTTGCTCTCACACACAATATGGCAGGTAAAATAGAAGCAGAAAATAAAATATAAACAAATATAGAAATAAATGTAAGAATAGAAAATAAATTATAGAAAAAGCAATAAGTACCAAATGAGAGTAAAACTAATGAGCTATGAACAAATCGCAGGGTAATAAAGATATAAACAATATTAACAGATATAAATATACACACTGTGCCGTGGTAAACAGTGTAGTCAGCAGTTCTTGTCAACAGGCAACAGCTGAGGCCCCCCACAAGGCTCGACAAACTTAAAACCGCAGCAGTAACTTAAAATGTGCAAATTTTGCAATGACTAGGAAACCTCCCTAACGGAGCCCCATCTGACATGACTCACTCTTGGTAGGCTGCTTATTGTCTCAAACATTATTCCTGTGAAAACCAATATTCCTCAGAAGGAAAATAAACTGCAATTTTCTGCCTGGGACAGATCAATGACATGTTGGATTCTGTCCAATATTCCATGGAAATCTAAGCAGACAAAACAAAGAACAACCAACCATTGATTAACCTTTTGAGAGCATACAAAGGAACCAGGTATGTTATGCAATGCTTGCCCCAAGTGTTTTTTTAACACTTATAAAGAAACAAAGCCTTCTCAGAGGTGAGCACTTTTTCCACAGAATGATTCCTAACTCTTATTTTTCCGAATTTCTTATTATCATAGCTTAATGCGTTTCTGAAGAACGCATTAAACATTGAAAGCAAGAGACTTTGCTTTTCATAATTAATTCAATTCATGAACACTTTTGTCAAACATAACACAACCACCCACACCTGGTTTCTTGGTATTCTCTCACTGTTGAAACTCCTCCTTCACAGTTTATACATCGACATTTTTTTGGCCAAACAAATGAGATCACCTTTATAAAGATAAACGTTTTATCTAACTATGTATGTCTTTTTATGTTTGATTCATTTCAGTGGGGCTCAAAAATACATGTATGAAAACCACATTCCCATGAGAAATAACAAGAAATAGAAGTCAGTTTATTGGCAGGATACAGAACAAAAACTGGTTCTTGATGATGATGATGATCATGACTGCACCCATCTAGAAAATGCACTTTTTTTTGGCAGCAAGGCAAGTTTATTCATATAGCACTTTTATTCATTTTTTTTGGAGATGTAGCATCCAATGTTTTTTTTTTTTTGGGGGGTACTCTTTCTAGGACTTGAATTTAGAATCAGTAGTATTAACAAGAGCTTAAATCCTATACTTAAATACAGGCAACACCCCAATGTAAGCTGCTCCATGGTAAGTCAAAGTGTGAACATATTTTATTCTACAATAAGTTGACCTTAAGGGCCACCGTGGTAATGAATGCTTATGTGGAAAAACAACACTTATGTAGTCAGCTCAGGTGAAATTCTGAAACAATGAGAGAGGAAAAGGTGATCACTTTGGGCAAGCATACATAACCATAACTGGTTCCTTGTTATTCTCTCAACGTTTTTTTATTTGATGTTTTTTTGGCAAGCAGTTTTACAATTCGAAGCAGGCGTCACGAAGATTAGTCATGTAAGGTTTCAAGACAAACAAATGAGACTGAATACTCTCGATTTGTAGATCACATTCATAAAGATGAACGTATTATCTAACCATGTCTTTTTATGTTTGATACATTTCAATCTGGCTCTAAACATGTGTAAAATATATGTAGGAAAACAAAAAAGAGGCCAATTGTAGTGTCAAAGTGAAAAGTATTCTATAAATATTAAGCATCAGAATGGCCCCTTGTGTGTCTGATGAACGCTTATCGAAAACAGTCTATCAAAGGTCGTTTGAGAAGCACACTGGACTTGGTGTGAATGTCAGACTGTTACATGTTTGGTACATGACAACATTCCTGTTTTCACTTTAGAGGTGACAGAAAACTAAGCTGAAAACACATTTATGAAGAATATTTTCGTGAATGCAACAGTACATTTTTATTATAGGGCCAGGAGGAATCACGTTTTGAGTAGGCCCACTATATATGTTTTTGTAAGCAGTTGTAAGCCTGTAAAAACTGCCAATGTCCTCCAGGAGGTACCAATTTGAAGAACCAATCATGTCTCCCTGCTCGTTCTCTACCCCACCACCAATGACGGACTTTAAACTGTGAGTTTATCGTTGGCAGTTACTTTTGAGAAGTAAAATAGAGTATATATAAAATGTGTTACAATAAGGTTTAGTGTTTACTTACCGCTGAACGAGAGTGATAAGCTGAGGTCTGCTTCTTGAGCAACCGTGCTCGTGCATTTAGGCCTACCTGTAAGTGAGAGGCGTTTTTGAGGGAGCAGAAGGGGGTGGGTCTGTATGTATATCGATCAGGGATGGGCAACTTCGTTCACAGCAAGGGCCACATTCATTTGATTCTCACTGCCAGAGGGCCAAATTGTAGCATATAAAAAAAGATTACAGTCAATTATGTCTCAACATATACCAGTGATCAAATATTATTATGGACATATTTTTTGGTTTTCATGATTTCATGGCTGATGTTTTCTTAATTTTTCCAATTAATTGATATGTAAAAATTGACCTGAGGGCCACGTTGAGGGTTGATGGGGGCCGCATGTGGCCCACCCCTGATATAGATCATAAACTGCACAGTCGATCTATGAAATAGAACCGTGAAGAGTCTGAGCACTGAGGGAATGCTACTTTCAAATCATGTTAGTTTTCGAAAATGACCAACCCTGCCCTTCATTAGGCCTACACTGTATTTCTGTACGGTGTGTGTACAATTCTCATTTGAAATAAAGTAAAAAAAATAAATAAAAAATAACCCAAAACAACAACTTTGCAGGGCCGCAGGAGAACTGTAGAAAGAGGAAAAAAAAAAGTTTGGGAGTCCCGGCTGCCTCACTAAACCCCGCCCAGTAACAGGCGTGGTTTGCCGGCAGAAAAGCACTTGTCTCCCCCTCCCTCAGTATATTCACTTTCTGTCACAGCAGCAGCAGCAGCAGCAGCGCCGGCAGTATCAGCAGCACACACACTCCTCTTGTACCGTCTCCATCTGCAGACATGGACCTGGAGCTGCTGGTGCACACGGTGCTCTTGCTTCGCGGGCTTGAGCTCTAGCGTGGTGCTAGAAAAGGAAAGGAGGCTGTCTTTGATCCAGCCGCTCGCTGAGACATCACTTTGTTGGACAGAGACTGAGAGAGAGAGAGAGAGAGAGAGAGAGAGAGAGAGAGAGGGGACCACACAGTCGTGACAGCAGAGGCCGTTTCAGGATATCGAGCTTTTTTCTTCTTCTTTTTTTTGACGTGTGTGTGTGTGTGTCCTCCATCATGGCGAGTGACTCCCCGGCTCGGAGTCTGGACGAAATCGACTTGTCCGCTTTGAGGGTAAGAGAATGTGAAAATGTATTTTTCAGCTTGAAGTGAGAGTAAGCCGGTTTTGTGCGCTCGTTTCTCCTCTCCGTGCACCTGACAGCGCTACTTGAATAGCAAACCGGCAGGAGACGAGGAGACGAGGAGGAGGAGGAGAGAGAGAGGAGAGAGGAGAGAGGCTGCGAGAGGCGGATGTGTGGGAGACAATGTGTCAAATTATAGATGAAATAGTAAATGTAGACATTAACTAGCGTGACAGCTGCCTCGTGCTTCTGAAGCTTTAATCTACGCCGGGATGGTTGTGTGTGTGTGTGTGTGTGTGTGTGTGTGTGTGTGTGTGTGTGTGTGTGTGTGTGTGTGTGTGTGTGTGTGTGTGTGTGTGTGTGTGTGTGTGTGTGTGTGTGTGTGTGTGTGTGTGTGTGTGTGTGTGTGTGTGTGTGTGTGTGTGTGTCTGTGTCTGTGTGTGTGTGTGTGTGTGTGTGTGTGTGTGTGTGGCTCAGTGGAGGTAGTAGCAGATATATTGCTGACCTGAATACAAGGGTTTGTGTATTTGTTTTTATCACAGTATATGCCCTGAGTCAGACAGCAATGGAATTTAACCTTTTTACCCCCCCACCCCCATCACACACACACACACACACACACACACACACACACACACACACACACACACAATGCAGATTTTCTTGTGTTAAAATCAGGGGACAAACTACTCCTTGATTTCAGTCCCTATTTCCCCCTTTAAACAGAAAACTAGTCCCCCCTTCTTGCTGTTTTTGTGGCTATTTGCACCTGTATCTAGTGTGTGTGTGTGTGTGTGTGCGCGTGCGTGTGTGTGTGCGCGCATATGTGTCTGCTGGAAAGAGTGCCAAGCTACCTGTAGTCGTCTCACCATCCTCTTCATCAAAGCAGAAGCACTGCATGCTGCAATAACCACTTTCTTTTGTTCATCCGGTGTGTCGCTGTAAAACCACAACACACAGACAGACAGACAGACAGACAGACACACACACTCACACTCTAACAGCCTACTGCGCTTGTGTTTATGCGTGGATACCCATGTTTTTTGCTCCGCTGGGCATGCTGTGTATGAGTGTGATATTCTCTGTGTGTGTGTGTGTGTGTGTGTGTGTCGGTGTCTGCCAGGCGAATATCAGCTGCACACAAGTAAGGGATGCTGTACATGAGTGTTTAAAAGAAGAAGCTCTTGCTAAAAACCTGTTTGCTGCTCTGAGGAAGGAAACCACATCACACACACACACACACACACACAAACACACACACAGACATATATCAAACACGCACACACAATGCAGTTGTTGTCAGCCTGCCTGTGTTTACCTCCTTCCTCAACTGCTTGATTGTGCCCTTCATCCTGTCTGTCTCTTTGCTTGTTTTAGTGTTTCTGCTCATCTGTCTATTCAGTTCCCCCTCTTTTCTGTCCATTTTTAACGCCTGTTTTCCCCCCCCCCCTGCATCGTGTTTCTGTGACTGACTGAATGCACCTCCCTGTCTATCTGCCAGCCGCTCTGTCTCGAAGCATTATCTCTCTCTGCCCACCTTCTCCTTTGGCCTGCCTTGCTGCATGAAGACTAACACTCACACTTGGAGGTGAATGAGCTGTCGACAACAAATGACAGCGCTCGTAAGGTTTACACATGTGATGCATGTTTTGATGAGTGTGGGGGGGGGGGTGAAGTGAAGGTCTGAGATTTGACAGGGGGGCCATGAAAGCAGAGGAGGGGAAGTGTCTGTGCATTGGGAGTCAGGCCATGCATGTTCTGTTCTTTCAGAGGCGTGATAGCAAGCTCATGTCTCTCACTGTGACTCAGAGGCCGCTGCAAGGACACACGCATACACACACACACACACACACACACACTCACACACACACAAATGCTCAGGTTTCTTTTACATGCGTGGACACAATCGTGATCATTTGACACCCCTCATTTATATGATTGGGCATGTTTGTATTTGCACACTCATGGATAAGATAAAGATCTTAAAGCTTCAGCGTCCTGGTTCTGTTTGTTCACTTAAAAGAAAGAAAGACGAATTTCCAGTTTTAAGGCTGGTTGTGTGAAAAGTTGATGTAGACGGAGTTAACGTCAAGTCTCAGTAACCACGCAGATTATCCAAGACGTGTCATACAAAGTTGGGAAGACTGTGCGACTTTTTGATCCAGTTGATGTCGCCCTTAAACACCAGAACCAAATCGAAACAAACTGCTGTTTGGCGACACCTCCGCTAGTCTGAAGCCTCCGCGCTCCTCCGGCGGCACACCTCCAGCGGCACGCCTCAAGCGGCACACCTCCAGCGGCACGCCTCTAGCGGCACGCCTCCAGCGGCACACCTCCAGCGGCACGCCTCCAACCCCTCTCCACTCGCGTTCACACAAGGGAGTTATTAATTTGAAGGCACCATAATTAAGCACCTTTAAAGCACAAAAGACGGACAAGATTGTCCTCGTCACTCGCCGCAATAGCCTGTGGCATTGTCGTGTTAGCATGCTAATGTTGGCACACTTTGGTTGAACTCATAGCTTCATATTGCACACACATTGGCAGGGAATGGCCGTGATCTAAAGACACTAACGTGACATCCAAATTAGCAGGGAGAAACTGTGTTATTCTTCTTTTCTCTAGTCCTTGACTAAAACAGCTTTTTCGACAACAGTACATCTGGTGGGACTCGCGCTCCTCACTCAGTGTAGACAGTCATGACTCAGAGAGACATTAACACAGGATATACTTGATTTCTGATGTATTTATGTGTAAAATGTCGCACATTCTGCCTTTAATGGTAATTACATACAACAAACTTTCACTCTTGATAATGAGGCCAGCATCAAAAGATGAGATACAACTAAAATGTAAAAAAGAGAACAACAGGTAGTATAAATACATGAAGTGTCTATTGGCCAATATGCAAATATCGATATTATCAATAGCTGATATTTTTTCTCTTGTGTCACAACGATTTAATGCTGGCAAGCTAGTGTACTAAACTTCTGATTAAGAGAAGAGGTTTATTTATTTATTTTTGGCAGAAGAAGTCATCCGGCTGAGATATGTTTTAATAGTCAAACGTGAAAAGAAAATGTCAGCAGTGCAGGTGTCTCAGGTCTGGAAAAGATCAGCGACTGGCGGTTTGAAATAGAGGAGGGACTTCTTGCAACAGTTTAAAAAAAAAAATCATCAAATCACATATCTCATTTGATAAAAAGAAATGAAGAATTACAAAGAAGTCTTGAGAATTGGAGACATTGGAGTCAGCATTTGGATACATCATTTCTTCAAATGTCCTCATCCCAAATTCGAGGGAAAATCTGTCCACGTCTGACTCTCCATCTTTTTCCCCTTTCTTTTCACTTTTCCATCTTTTTTTAAATGCACTTTGACTTATCATGATCACACATATACACACTACTCATACACACCCAATCTTAGTAACAACAGGGATACATACACACACACACACACACACACACGAGTGATAAGTGTACAGTCAACCACTAGGCTGACTAGACAGGAACTAGGTCAGCTGGCTCTGGCAGGGTGGAGGGGGGTGAGATTATAATACTGACCCGGGTTGTGGTGATGAGGGATTGTGTTATTGTGTCTGTGTGTGTATGGGTGAGGGGGGGTGGGGGGTGTCAGGGAGCCAAGCTTGCTCTTACACTTGGCTTCTCATGGGCACACTGACCCTTGCAAACATACAAAAACACACACACACACATTCAAGAGACAGACAGAACTGAGTGGGAAGTAGAGAGGAGAGGGAGAGACGTGGCTTTGAATGTTTGCTGTCTCTGCACTTTTCCCTTTTCTTTCTCCCTCTCTTATTTTTCAAATGCCTCGTCAAGTCTCTGCGGTATTCGCTGTTGTCACACGTTGACCCCCGACAGCACCTGCGTGTATGCCGCGTGTTTCACTCGAGTGGGAAAGGCTGGAGTCAAAGGGATGTCACCGCTTGTTTCCCGTCTTCCCTGTGACTCACAGTGATACAAAAAGACCAGAGGAGGTTGAGACAGACGCTGTGGTTTTTTAAACAGACAGTGGTTCTTATTTATGTACAGTGAAACTCACACACACACACACACACACACACACACACTCACAGGTCAGAGGCGTCAGAAGCACGAGTTCATCCAGTCAGCTGAGGAGAGCAACAGATGGGACACCAGCAGGAAGCACAACCCCGGCATCACATAAACACACACAAAACCACACACTGCCAATAGAGAAGTGTGCTGTGCGGGGACTCAGGTGTGAGAGCCGAGATGAAAAAGAGAGAGCAGGTGAGGATGGAGAGACAGCGACGGAGAGAAAAGGGGCGAAGAGGTAGTGAGCTGGAGTGCTGGAGAGAAGAAGAGGATTTGGAGGGCTCATTCCAAACAGAAGAGAGCGAAAGAAAAAGAAAGCGACATTAAGGCTGAAAGGGTGAGATGTGACCAGTGACTAAAGTAGTCCAAAGCAAAGACCCCTCTCCACATCTCTCCCCCCACCCCACCCCCTCCCTCCATCCCTGTTGCCCAGTAAGGCCGCATTCCTCGGCCCCTCACCATGAACGCCATAGTAACAGGGCCACAGCAGTGCCCAAGGCTTACACAGAGCTTATTCATGAATAGTCTATATACTGTATGGCAGTCTGTCGCTGAGAAATGCCCCTCTCCCTCCCACCCTCCTTTTCCACTCCGCCTGCCTGCTTCTAGTTGACCTATTTTCTCGCCCCCAAGTCACTGATGGAGCTGCATCTAGTCTCTTAATTCTCTGTTACACTTACACGAGCACTTAGTTCCAGAAGTTGGCTCTGAATGCCTGAGAACATGAGGTTCTTGCATGTTTGAATCTGCCAAATTAAATTCTGAATCATCAGCTGAATTGCAGGAAAAAGCTGAATTCCATTTAAGTTCCACCTTTTCTTTTTGTTGCAAACACTTCCGCTCATCGGCTCTCTGCACAGAATTTCCATGAATCCAGGTTATAATCTTAATATGTCTCTCTTCTTCA